GGAAGTTCAGGTTAGATATAAGGAAGAAGTTCTTTACTGTGAGGGTGGTGAGGCACTAGAACAGGCTGCCCAGAAAAGCTGTGAATGCTCCATCCCTGTCAGTGTTCAAGGCCAGGTTGGACAGAGCCTTGGGTGACAGTCTGTGGTGAGGTGTCCCTGCCTATGGCAGCAGGGTTGGAACTGAATGATCTTAAGGTCATTTCCAACCCAAACCATTCTATGATTCTATAAATAAAAGCTAAATGCATCAAATTGCATGATACAAAACTCCATTACAACTATTCTACTACTTGTTTAGCTTTTCATCTGTAATTTTGCAGGTCAAAAGTAGAGGTGCCCAGAGCTAGATATCTAACCAGTCTGTATGGAAACAAAGCACAGAATTCCATGAAATGGCAGCCTGCTTCTCTTTCTGTACTGCACCTGGCATCACTATTTGGTGAAATTAATACGAATTTGCAAAAACTCCTGGATTTTTCAGCTTTTATTATGAACATTATGAACAGATCAAATAAGATGACACACACGTCATAGAAGGAAGCAAGGAAAGCACTTGAGCTGATTGTGTACAAAGTGGTTGGGAAGTGGAACAGGAGTCAGGATTCCTTCCTAACCTATCAGGAAACTATTTTGCATTCTGAAGGGTTTGCCAGTGTTCCTGAATTGATTTCAATGAATGTATTTTCATGAAAAACTGGGTCAGTTTGGTCTTTATTTCCAAATAATCAATGTTAAATTTAAGCTAGTAAAGCAAAAGCCTATTAATTCAAAAGAAAAAAAAAAAATTGAGACTTTCAGGGAAAATTAAACATAACATGAAGTATCTCTCCTTTCTAAGAGATGATTAAACACAGGAAATTTTTTGAATCTATGCATTAGTAGTCACAACAAAGAGATTAAGAAAAGTATTGAAGGTGTTACAGAAGCAAGCAACAAAAGGACAAAACCCCCAAGTACTGAAAACTATGAATAGGAATTACTCATGGCTATCAAATCTCTGAATGAGTTATAATTAACTTCATTTTTCATCCATATGAAAGTAAAAAAAGGATATGTTGAATTATTAAACATAATCAGTTATAAAGGAATGTTCTAAATCATAGAATCATAGAATAGTTAGGGTTGGAAAGGACCTTAAGACCATCTAGTTCCAACCCCCTGCCATAAATGCTCCAGCCCTGGCAGTGTTCAAGGGCAGGTTGGACAGAGGCTTAGATGACATGGTCTAGGGTCCCTGCCCATGGCAGAGGGGTTGGAGCTACACGATCTTAAGGTCCTTTCCAACCCTGTTTTATGATTCCATGATTCTGCAGAATTGCCACATATGATAAGTGCTTAAGTATTGCCATAAATACCAAAAAGGAAACAGGAAAGGCACAGATCCTCCCCAGACTCTTTGGTCAGGGAAGGGTGGTTCTGACACTGACCTCGCTCCACACAGGTGGACCTGGTGAATATTTATTTCTTCGGGACAAATACACAGCAGTCAGCTCTGGTGCTTCAGAAGGTGGCACTGTGGAGCGGACTCAGACCCTCCCTGGGGGGCTGCAACTCTCAGAACAAGATTTATCAGTTATCTGAACCATAAAACATGGTGCATCTGACATGAAGCAGGTCAGGAAGGCATGGCAAATTTTAGAAAAGACATAAAAACTCAAGGTCTACTGGCTTCTGTCATTCAAAGCCGTGAAATCACTCAGTTACTAGCTAAGTGTGAAAGTGCAAGTCCCAACATCCCAAGCATATTCCTGCTTGGATAATTCAAGTTTGCACGGCCAAAAACCCCTCTTCCTGTTGAGTGGACACCATCTGTGTGCCACCTTTTTCTTGGCCTCCTTTAGAACAGTTGCTTTCCAGGTTTCCTCTTCTGTTTGCATCTCTTTGTTTTGAATTTCTTTCCCCACACGTGTTAGCTTGAATCTTTCTCCATGCTGAGTTTCATTTTGTTATTTTCAGCTTGGCTTTGAATGAGTTAGGTTATGCTCATGCTGTAGAGCATTGCCAATTTGTCATACCATCTGTTTCAAAAAATCAGAAAAGAAGTTGAATCCCTTAATGGGATGAAATAACTGTACTCTGTTCTGGGAGCTTTCTTCATGGGGTATGTATTCACTTGTTGATAGTTCCATCCTTTATGGCTCAGTAATTTAAATACCACTATGTTCTCTGCCATTATGGCTCTCTGAAAGCTTCATTTTGCTGATGACACTCTATACAATTCATTTTGCACTTTCAAATGCAGAAAGATCTTTACAGGTTTTCTGAAAGCTCAAGCACTAATGAAGAACAGCATGTTTTATGAAACAGTAACTAGATAGCTCTTCCACTGATATTTAAGGCCATGTAGATTTCTATGTTCCCACCTAAAACAATAAAAGGGAGTAATTTCAGTATTCCTCTTTCAAAATGCTTGTGATTTTCATTTAAACTGAAATTTACTCATGTTCTTCTGTGCATCCAGTTGCTCCTGCCTTCAGTAAATTAGACCTGGAGGATTTCTGAAGAGTCAGTGTGCATACGCCCATCTAGCCTCATGGCAAACAGATGGAAAGCAAGCTGAAAAGGGTCCAAGAGAAAAACGAGGGGCACAGGAGCCTAATTAATACGTGGCTATGAGAGTAAGAATTGTTTCTCCTGTGAGGACATATGAGCATGAACTTGTTACAGGTCAGTTACTGCCATTTTCCTGCTTGTCTCAGCAAACTGTCAGTGAAAGTGAATGCATAGGTCTGCAACAATTAGAGATGATCAGGATGTTTTAATGTGAAGGCAATGATCACGTATACTAGAATTTATAACTATGCTTTCTAATAATATAGTCCTGCGTACGCATGAGAGTGGGGTGCTTCATTCATTCATTTCAGGGCTTTCTAGTGACTGACGTGGACCTGGTTTCTCCAGAGGATGGCATTTTCCACGCTTACAGGAGAACAAGGACAGAGCAGAGCTGACAGGATCCCTCATGGCATGGACCTTTCTGGAAAAGGGGCCACCAGGAATTTCCAAAGTTCACAAATAAATAGAAAAAAACCCACTAGATTTCTCTGAGACTAAGGAAGAACATGACACTGGCAGGGGATTTGAGAGGAGCTGAAGACTTCACAGTTGTCAGAAGTTCATGTAGTACCTGTTTCAAGCACAGCCACAAGCTGCGGAGCATCACGGTTCCTGTAGTCTTCACTCTCTGCTAACTAGGTTTATCTTAAGCACTTTAAGCTTTCTACTTCCTTCAACTGACTTTTGTCTTCTGCTGGATTTGCTGGAGCCGTTCTGGGGAACATGGCTGTAATTTAAGTGTAGAAGCACGTACTAGAACAGAAAGAGTAGCTAGAAGCATGTGAGTAGTAGGGCTCTGTGTTGTCTCTCAAGTACATAAACTGTGTATTTCTCTATTCCTGGAGCTGGGCAGCAGAAGAAAAGTCACTAAACAGTTCTTAATGCCGTCCTACCTCTTTGATTTATGCACTCTCCCTTCCTCCCAGTATTATAGATAGTCATGGGCATGGATCCTTTTTAATAACAAGCTCTTACGGCATCATCTTCCTTTGTATATCACTGTTCTTGTATTTGTTTCAAAGGATAAGGGAGGAAAAAGCAGAATTAGAAAATAATGATGTCTATTAGGAAGGATTAGACTGTGGTTTCGATTCAAGAAAGAGTTTTTCAGGTTAGATAATTTTTAATAAAACACTCATTCTTCCTTCAGCTGATCTCATCTCCTAAGCCCTGGAGTCTTCTCATCTTTCTTCTTGTTTCTGTGGGAGTTTTGCTTGCATAAGGACTGCACATGTTCACAAGATTCAAGTTACTTTTAATTTTTTATATTCCTCTTTCAGATTCATTATTTATATGCACTTTTTAGAAACTATCAAGTTTGGTGTTACTAATTTAACCGACTCTTCCAGATCCTTTTGATAGTGCATTGTTATGCAGCTCAAGTCAATGAATAACAAAGCAACATATTTTCATTCAAATTACCCATCACTTTTTTTAATAGCCTACAAAATAAAAATGACAAAAAGTGATTTATTTTTCTGAGACAATGACCACAAGTTTGGTACATACACTCTAAACCACTGTTTACCTTGGAAACATAAATCAGCCTGTGGTACTTTATGATATCTGCACAAGATTCTAATGTGACGGATAACACACATAGAGCTGTGAATTCCTGCAGTGTCAGATGTTCTGGTAACAGAATAAACTTATAATTATACCACAGATTTCATGTTAACTAAAAACATGCATTTATGTTTTCCCCATGGCAGGCTTGGGGTGACAGAAAATACTTTTTTATTCTGTTCCTTCAATGCAAGTCAGCATAGAATTCAATATTTTCAAAGAATCTGTTACCACCAGGACTTGGAAAAATAGTTGTTATTACAAGGATCTAGTCAGCCAGCAGGTTGATTAGTTTAAGAATTAAGTCCTCAAAGTTCTGAGCTCCTGTTTCTTTAGTGCGTGGTGTCCCTGCCCTTGGGGTTGGAACTAAATGATCTTAACGTCCTTTCCAACCCTAACTATCCTATGATTCTATGATTCTTTGTGATGAAATAAGGCATACATTAATCCATTTTTCTTCTCAATCTGTACATTTTGGACTACTTATAGATACTGCCTCATCTTTTTTCTTTTTTCTTTTACTTTGTCCAAGATGGGCAACTCTTTTGAAAGCTTGTAAGAGCAGTAAATTGCCTGAAAATACCTCTTTATGCCAGACTGTGACGATACTTGTTAAACTTTGCTGCAGAAAGATAGAATTATACATAAAAACAGACAAGAGTTATAAGAGATTCAAACACAGCCTCTACAGACCTCTGAAATTTTCTAGACTTTTTTAGCTATTTAAATTTGAAGGTGCCTGAATTACCATCGATCCATGTTGGTTTTTTTACTTTTTAGATGCTAACAGACTTTAAGGGCTCTCTAACAGAGGCTCCTATTTATTGAGTGGACATTTTAGTCCTTTAATGTCTGTTGAGGAAAAGTCCAGCCCAAAACAAGGATCAATTTTTTAATCAAAATAGTGAAATTAAAGAATTAGATGAAAATTACTATTCCATACAAGGCTGTCACCCATAATACTTTGTTGATGGAAGCAGATCAAACTTAAGAGAACAAATTCCTTGTTCTGATCTTCTTGCGTGTGCAGCTTTTGCTTTACCTATTAAACAGTCTTTACCTCAATTCACGAGTCTTCTCACTTTTACTCTTCTGATTCTCTCCCCCATCCCACTGGTGGGGAAAGGGCAAGCCGCTGTGTGGGGCTGAGTTGCTGTCCAGGGTTAAATCACAGCAGATGTCCTGGCATAGCTGGAGTACTCCTGGGATGTCAACATGCAGGGGTCTTCAGCAGGCATTTTGAACAGAGTGGATAGATCTAACCTGAGGGTTGTAAATGGCAACACTTCACAGGACTTGTGCAGGAAGATTAATCCTGCAGCCTTCAGGGATGGCAAAAAAAAATGTTCTTTTACTGATTCATAATAGCAAAATACTGTGTAACTTGTCCCGATTTCTAATTACATTTATCAAGGGGGCAAGGAGGAGAGGAAATCTGCCAGAATCACATTGCAGAAGGCAATCCCATCAAGAGGTGGTGCTGTATGTTCATTTTAGCATTAAGTTTCATCTGACGCTCAGTGATGGTTGGGAAAGACGGGTGGGAAGCAAATGCTATTCATCTACAATATGGTTGTTACAATCAAACCATTGACCTCTTTACAAAAGCATTACAGTACTGTCTGCCCTACTGCTGCTGGCAGAATTTGTATCGACTCTCACTGAGAGATTTGCGCAGTGTAAAATGTGCATCAGCTGATTTTCACTTGTACTTCAAATCAGTTGTGGCTATAAATTCAAGGTGACCTCTGAACCCTTCTTTTCAATTTCTACAGCTTTGGTAGCAGATGTTTTTACTGTCACTGATGCAAAAATTGAACCTCTGTTACTGAGATTATATTCCATAAGCATCTCAGCTCAGTGAATCATTATAGGTAGCTGTTCTACTACAAAACCTGTGGGGAGCAGGCTTTTTTTTTTTTTTAGGGATTTAACTCACTGTATTACACATGAAAACTGGAAGCTGTTATTAAAACATAATGGATATGTCATTTGGCCAAGAAAACACAAACCCTTGCTTGAACCAAAGTCTTGATTGTGATACTGAGCAGTAGACTAGATTCTTATTTTGTTGCAGGTAAGTTTCCAGAACTAGCAGAAGCATTAAGTGGTCTGGAAAAATCAAGAACTAGGAGCTACAGGCTGATCAGCCTCACCTCAATCCCTGGGAAAGTGATGGAGCAAATAATCCTCAAAACCATCTCTACACGTAAGGACAAGAAGGTGACTGGAAATAGTCAGCAAGGATTCATGGAAAGGAAATCACACCTGACCAACTTGACAGCTTCCTAGTACAAAATGATTAGCTTGGTGGACGAGGTGAAAGTGTATCTTGACTATTGTGTAGTGCCTGGGCATGGACACACAATTCAGCACCATATGAACTTCTCCACTTTTCCCTGTACAAATGCAAATATACTCTAAATCACTGAGATTGTTCAATGTTTAGGCCAAAGCCCAAGAGTTTAAAAAAACTGAACTTCCACTGACTGTCCTGGCAAGAGAACTTACAGTGAACGGCGATTGCGAAAGGAAAATAGGGAACAAGATGCTTCTTTCACCCCACTTCTTAATCATATATGGAGAAACAAGCTAAACTTGCCAACAGTGTATGAAGATAAATGGAATGGACTGCAGATCATCTACAGAAAGAAACTGACTAAACAAGTAGCTTCTTTGGTTTCATATGAATTATTTATCAGGTCAGATTAGTCTCCAAATAGCACACATGTAACATTTTTCTCTTTGCCTACTTTAAGGTTAGTGTATACTCAGGACATTTATAGATGTGATTACGATTTCATTAGCATTCTATTTCAAAAGGTACTTTTATTAAAGTATTACATTGGGGGCAAAGTGAAGCAGCATGCATTGCAGGGGGTAATTTAGTGTTACAAAGTATGTTTTCTGCAGTTTGCACTTTGCTTAGTTTAAGAATACATGCCGTTTGTGGAAAAGTGGGGTGTTTTGTTATATTAGGCCTGTTTGAGCTGCCACAATTAACACCTGATTCTTCTAGGAATCAAGATCAATGTTCAGGACCAAATTCTAAGCAGCAGAATTCCTTCAGTTGTGTGGCTGCTGCCCATGGTTGGCTGACAGATGCTCATCCAGCTGCCCTCTCACTCCCTTGTCCTCTTGAGGCGAACTGAATTCAGTTTTCAAAAGGAACACAGCAGTTCAGAATATCAGAGTTCAACTTGGACCTACAATTTTATGTGAGTGTGATACTAGAAATCAGGTAATGTAAAATTACAGTGATAAAAAGCAGGCTGTGCACCAACTGCTGTGATTTTAGACAATTTATGGAATTCTGTATGTGTGCCAAAGCCCTGACTGCTGGATTTTAGAAATAGAGTTTCACATAAGAATTTAAGTCTCTGATTGCCCTGAATAAAAGACACAAGCGTAACCAATAAGCCTCAAACATCAGAAGGATCTAATTCTTGTTATTATTGCTTAAATCTTAGGATAGCAAAGCCAGCCTTATGGTTTGGAAGAAGCAGGAAGAGAAGCAGAACAGATGAACGCATTTTTAGAGCTTGGATTACCGATACTATGTGTGCCACAACAGGCGAAGATAGTAGGTGGAAGGATGGGCAGTTTGCAATGTTACCAGAACGTCTTGCTCCAGTACAAGTGCTTTGCATTGGTAGAAGTCAATGTTCTTTATAGGGGATGCAACAATTATTGATCCCATTTCAAATATGCGAACAGGAGAACAGATGAAGTGTTTTGCCCCTAAGCACTTTGTAGGGCAAGGACAGAGTTGGAGTCTTGAGTCCCTGCTTATGGAGAATTGTCCTGGGTTCAGCAGTAGCAGTCATTTTTCTCCTTCTCGGTAGCTGGTGCAGTGCAGTGTTTTGACTTTCGGCCTGGGAACAGAGCTGATAACAATGATGTTTTGGTTTGGCCAAGGACTTTGTGAGCCTCATGCTCTGCCAGGGAGGAGAGGAAGCCGGGAGGAAGCAGAGACAGGACACCTGACCCAAACTGACCAAAGAAGTATTTCATACCACAGCACATCATGCCCAGGAGGTAACAGAGAGTTATCCAGAAGGGCTAGGACTGCACGGTTGGAGGAGGTATCGGTCAGTGCTTGGTCAGGCTGGGGCAGGGGGGGCAAAACAGCTTCTCCATCAAGAAGTGATGTGCTTCCTCCAGGTCCTGCTCCGACTCCGAGTCATCAGCTTCACCTGGTAGTAGTTACTGGCCCAGTCCAGGTAGGAGCCCAAACTGACACAAAGGAGAAAAATGACTGCTACTGCTGAACCCAGGACAAGAATTCATGGCAAGATTAGTTTATACAAACTATACTTTTCAACCAGCCAACAAGTTTAACAGGAAAGGTAAATTTGCAACAAAATGCTCTGATATGAGCTTTATTTCCTGCAGATAGATTTATTAATCAGAACTGGAAAATGTATAAAAATGTTCCTACAATCTTTGTAAGATACATTGTAAAATAATGTAGGAGATAGGCATCAGCGTCTCAGCATATCCCTAGGGATCCTGAAATTAATAGCTATATATATAACTCAATTATAGTCTGAATCTTAGCAATGGCAAGGGATGTTGTGTATGAGCTGAACCATATTGTTATTCTAGTGAGATACTGACTTGTTAAAGGAAGCACAGAATTGGGTCAGCAGGCAAAATTAAGGAGAGGAGGGAGAGGGCTAGTATTATACCCTAATCATTTCTGAAATCTCAGGCTTCTTCCTTGTGGGTAAAACACAAGGGATTAATTCTGTAAAACGCAAATATTAGAAGACCAGTGGATCCTTCTTGCTTTTTGTCTCCCTGTTCTGCATGTACCTTAAAGCTTGTGGACAGTCTCCTGCCTGTCCCTCCCTGCACCTCCCTTACTTCCATCAAATGGCAGGCCCTGAAGAGTGGAGGAAGTGCCATGGAGAATGGCCTTGCAGACTCCCTTGCAAGGTGCCCCTTGCAGATACTAGCCCGAAACCTGCTGGTGGAGATAAAGAGAAGCTTTTGCAGGGTTATTAGGACTGGGTGATAAAAGAATGATACTACCATTCCTTTCACCCTTTATGTTCCTCTGACACAGCTTACTTGAGTTCTCTCCAGAGAATGAAGTCATCAGAATAAGGGAATCTTCTGCAGTGCTGGAACACTTCACGTAACATTGAACTGTCAGTTAGTGTGTTACAAATGAGGAATCATGTGCGGCCGAGCATCTGTATTCAAATGAACCATTCACTTCAGCAGATGTAACAATAGGTCTATAGCAATTTATTTTATAAACATAAAATTCTACAATACAGTATCTGTTAGCACATCCTTCACTACACTGCATCAGCTTGAACCCTAAGGGTACTTCTTACATTAGGGGAAAAGCTATGTAACAGTACACCATTTCAGCTGTTCATCATTATGAATTTGAAGTCACAACACAGGAGCCTGGGTGACATCAGTTACTGGCCTTGATTTCTTTTTTTACCAGACTCATCACCATGTAGAAAACTGACTATCACATCAACTAAACTGTAAGCATTCAGCTGAGATTTTCATTTCTTACTGGAGTCTTCTGAGCTGTTTGGTTTTCTCCCTCAGCAAAGTGGGATGGGAATGTAAGTAGGTGACATGCCTGTAGTAAAAACACAGCAGACAGTAAAAGATTTCTCAGTTAGACAGCATTTTTGTCAGCTAATTCTATCAAATTATCTGAACAATAAAACCATTTTAGTGGGAGGAAATAGATGACTGCTATTACAGTAACCCGGTTATCCTTCCATAAATTAAAAGTAAGAAAAGTATATGATATTGCAATAGTTATAACATGATATACTACTTCTAGGAGTCCTTTGAGATAAAAGTAGGTATTTTCAATTACTTGGCTCTGTTCTTCCAAAGATTAAAACCATTATATATAAAGTCTATACATAAATAAAAAAAAATGAAATTAAATCCTTCATTGAAAATCCATTCCTGTGGCAAACAAGGAATGGTGCTTCCAGTTGCTACACCTATTTGCTTTCCTCTCCATATATCAGCCGGCTGTACACACTACTCTGGAAATGAAGCAATGAGTTGTTCGCCTGTTTCTGTTCTCCATGCAAAACCACCATAATAACTTCTAAACATGGCAACAAAAGATCCTGATACTTCAAGAGCATGCAACTACCTTTTACTCTCTAACCCATTTACAATATATATAACCATGGGCAAGGCACCCTAGGAATGACTGGTAGTTGGGAAAAGATTCCTGCAGAGTCTGTATTTGTAAAATCTGTCCAGCTATGTCGGCTAAAGGGCATGAAATACGGTACTCACAACTTATGGATGACCAATATTGTGTATTATTATTGTATCTTTTTTTGTGGTTCATGAATGAAAGGCCATGAAGAAAATGAACAATTTCCTCTTGGAAAACTCAGCAACAACCAGAAACTAGCACACCTAAGGCCTGGGCCTAGTGCTGTTCATGTTTTCACTGCAAGAACTTGTGAATGAAATCGGTCTGCTAAAAAAAGACAAATGCCTTTCAACTGGATCATGATTTGTTCCTATTTACAGTTATAGATTATGGGAAGAGCATCTCCAACACTACAATATCGAGGATTAAAAAAACCCAGCTGCTGTTATTGCTGCAGGAGTTGGAAACTAAGTTTGAGGATCAGGCACTGCAATTCCTTTTATCAATGAGTTTTTGCTGGGAGAAGGGAGCTCTGTTATTATTTTAGCTCAACTAGAACTTTTTGTTTGTTTGCTTTGTTTTCTTCAATACTCTAAGGATTTAAATTTAGGAGATTAAAAATTCATGCAAGCTCTCTTGCTTCAGAAACTTTAAAGTGGAAACCAGTTCAAGTATTGCAGAGTATTCTTTTTATTCCTCAAAACCAACAACTTACTGTTATTCCCAAAAATGAAAGTAATTTTTTCTGCAGGCTATTTCAGAAAAATAAAGCAAGTATCTCTTTCAGGCTTTCTTTAGAAGGACATTCATAAAGCCAGCAGAAAATAGAAGCAATTGGAATACATAAGCTATTTAGAGATACTTGTTTAATCTCAGTAATTACCTATATGGTAGAAAGAGGATTGGTTAGAAAGGGCTATTTTTTCTACTTACAACTTTAAAAGTTTGCTCAGATGTGCTAGACACAGTATAAATGACCTAACTGCTCTTCTGTCAAAATCGTACCGAGAACATGGTCAAGCAACAGGTATTTTCTATGTAGCAGTCAGAGCTGATGAATGACTCTGAGGTAAATTTTGTTCATTCACTTGTATACAGTCTTGCTTACTTCAGTGAACTCCTTCAAGGTAAGATGATGCCAGAAATCAACCCTGTCAATGATTTTCTGAATAGCATTTCTTAAAGCGGTTATGGAATTCAGCAATCTTGAAAAGCTGCATTTTAACACCACGTTCTCTTTACATTTTTGGTGTGTTTTGGTTTTTTTAGTCAAATGATATATTATTTCAACACATGCTCACTCCTTCACTCACAATTAGCTTCGAACAGTCAGATGAAGTTGAGAATCCCACCTGTTCCCAGAGAGAAGAGATAAGGTTCAGGTGATTGAAATGGACATGGCAGGACATGGCTGTGCAAGTTCTAGATCACTTCAAGCAAACTTAATTCACACCTCATGTGAATCCTTAATGAAGGACATAGGGCACATAGAACCAGGTTGTAAGCATGCAGGACCAGCTGGCATACCTGAGAGCAAATCTGAAGCTAGTTCCAAATTTGACAGTCACAGATGTCATATCAGGGCATGACCTCTTCCCAGGCTGCTGAATTCAACAGAGACTAGATAAAGGAACACCTTTATCACAGTTTTCTATTTATGAACTTGGCATATTGGCATAACTAAATGAATGCAAAAGAGAAAGGAAGGGATTTTTCCAGGAAAGAAGCAACAACATCCACTCTTCTCCACACATACCACCTTCAGAGGGATTAAGAAAAGATGTACTTTAGATCTATGAGAAAGACTGGAGTGGGAAACCATGGACATACTGGAAGTGAGCACGTAGGTACCGGCAGTGACTTGCTTCTGCAAGGGGCAGTTTCATACAGCAGTAGCAATTGCCATTCTAGACAAATACTCCAAAAACCAAACAAAAAACCCCAACCAGTTTTCTGTATTGAAAACTTGACATCCCAAACCTTAAGCTCTCTGTGCCTCAGTTCAAATGAGGTAAAAGTGTCTTACCTACTCATCTCAAGAAGCTGCTGTGTAAAGCAAATTAACATTATATTTTTGGAAGAACTCAGCTAAGTTTCAACAAGCATTAAGGCAAAAGTCCACAAGGAAATTAAGTTTCAAAACCAAAATCTGAAGAGATAAAAATGCTCTACTGGGACACACATAGAGCAGTCATTTGTTAGCTACCTCTAACCCCAGCAATTCCAGTTAGGCAGTACTTATCACAAAGATCAACTAACAGCAGGGGGGTAGTGGGATTCCTGTGCCTTAGAGGCTGTTCTCAGTACACAAGAGGAGATGCTGTAGTAAGCATTGATGACTATCATGGTTTAACGCCAGAGAGCAACTAAGCCCTAGACAGCCATTCTTCCACTCCCCTCGCAAGAAGATGAGGGAGAGAACTGAAGAGTAAAAGGGAGATAACTCCTGGGTTGAGATAAAGACAATTTAATAGGTAAAGCAAAATCTGCACACACAAGCAAAGCAAAACAAGGAATTCATTCAGCAGTTCCCCTCAGCAGCCATGTCCAGGGAAGCAGGGCTCTGTCATGTCTAATGGCTACTTGGGAAGACAAATGCCACTCCAAATGTCCCCCTCTCCCTTCTTCTTCCCCCAGTTTATATGCTGATCATGATGCCATATGGTCTGGAATATATCCCTTGGGTCAGTTGGGTCAGCTGTCCTGGCTGTGTCCCCTCTGAACTCCTTGTGCATCCCCAGCCTGCTTGCTGGTGCTGTGGGGTGAGGAGCAGAAAAGGCCTTTACTCTGTGTAAGCACCGCTTAGAAGTAAGGAAAACATCCCTGTGTTATCAACACTGTTTCCAGTACAAATCCAAAATACAGCTCCATTCTAGCTACTGTGAAGATAATTAACTCTATCCCAGTGAAAGCCAGCAAAATGACCTTGTGCATTTCAACCAAGAGTGGTTTCCAGGCTCTGGTCTCCTAAAGTCAGTCTGTGTTTTGTGGTGGATTGAAAGACACAGACTCAGTATGTGATCTGACTAAGTCATTTATTCCTTTTTTCTTGTCCTTTTTATAGTTACAGACAAGGATCTTGACTATGCAGCCAAACAGGATATTCACGTACTCTGCAATCTCACCTCCTCAAGAACATGCAAGCATTGCCCCAGTGCTCAGGAACAAAAAGTCATCAGTTCTGCCCCAGTGGTCTGGGAACAGATCAAGTCAGCACAATAATCACACTCTCTCTCACACGCTCCTACACACTTTTCTTTTGCAAACATAGGTGTGTACCCTTGAATTCCTGATAGTGACTGGCCAGGAACCCGTTATTCTTATTATTTATAATCTTGTTTGCTTTTAGAGAGGCCTGAGAGAGACATGACTGCATGTCCTTGATTTTGAAGCATTCCCACAGTGTTTCACCATGCCACTGAGTCCTCCTCACAATCACCATCTTCCCTTGTAATCATGCTTCAGGCTTTTATCCCAGCCTAGGTCTTCTTGACAATACTACTTCTTGTAACAGAATAAAGAAGACTGAGAAATGTTTTGAAGTGAAAAGGGATGAATTTCCTACTTAGTTTTGATAGTAGATCTGAAAATAGTGAATATTTTACCTTCCTACCATTATCTATTACAACATAACAGCTTTTCATACTGTAATTTTATATCCATTTTCCCTAAACATATTCCTGGCTAATTTTTTTGTTTATCTGTATTTGCTTGAAAGTATTTTTAACAACCTAAAACAGGCCAATTGGCACCAAGACAGCACAACTCAATTCATTTCAGCTTAATCCTGGCAGTTCACACAAGCTGAGAATCTGGCCCACTGTGATAGGAAATTAAGTTGGGTTTTTTTTTCTCAGTGGAGGCTGTCACCCACAGTCCTTTTAGAGACGTTTATTTTAATGGCTGTGACATGCCTTTCTCCAAAAGGTATTGACAGGAAAACATAAATATTTTCTTTCATTGATCAGTGGAACTGGTGAAACCTGATTTCCCATGGATTTGCATCCTACACAACTGTGCCTCCGCTGTCATAATCCCAGTTCCTCTCTTTTTTTTATCATGACTTCATTCATTCCCTAATACTTTTAGCAGCCCTCCCACATTCCCTCATTATCATCCGGGAAGAAGGAAGTACCCATCAGGCCTCTCTTGGTGGTGTATCTGTAGCTTGTACACACAGCATGCCTGAGCAGACCAGGCCAAGCAACATAAAGAATGAATTCATGTGATACTTTTTTCTCTCTGTGAGGTCACCAACTCACATCAATTTTGCCCAGCTTTTTATAGGTTTTCACCCAACCGCCAGAACCATTTTACCTGTGAGACTTCTATTTGTGTCTGTGTGTGGCTGAAGTTAGACTTTTGGCTCTCAAGATATCAGGGACTGACCAGTGTGATTGCAAAAGCCTTAGAAACTAAGGAAAAAGAAATAAAAATGAATTGCATGAAACATAATGTGCATTGTTTGTTATCAGTACTTGGCAGAATAAATATTGTTTGCAACAAAACTGGAGCACATTCATTCTTTTCCAGAGGATTTTAACTGAGTCTCAAAAAATAATCTAGCTGAGACTGAAAATGGATGAGAATAATTAGATTCTATTTTTGGCTGTTATGGTAAGCATAAATTTTGACATTAATTTCCTATTATATAGCAGAGGGAAGAGAACACCTCAAGTGAAGATATACAGAAGATGCTGAGGTACATCAGCTGCTCAGTGGAATGGATTTGGAACTTGACTTATAGGTCACTGATCTGGAGTAGGAAAACTGTGATGTGATAAACTGGAACTTATCCGCATAGCCAGCCCTTTACAGACAACACTTCAGGAAATCTGAGTTTCACGCACAGTATCTGAGGCATCACACGGCCACTCTGTATTGGTAAAAGTTCTCTACTTCATTCCCCTTCTGCCCCCAGCTGGACAAGTATGTTAAATTTTAATAACACAGACCTCACTTAAATATGGTATCATAAACCCATTTAGTTTATAGAAACAGTACCCATTCTAAAAATAAAACCTACCAGAATTGCTCCAATCTGCCAGGAAAATTGTAACTATAGACAATCCTGATGCCAGAGGAAAGGATGAAGAGTATGTAATCCAATGGAGTAAGAATGTCTCCTTCTCTGAATAAACTTGTTATAAAGACTCTTTAACTTTAGAATAATTAATGACTTAAGAATAAAGCACCTATGTATCATAAACTATTATCTGTTATCAAATACATACATGTGTGTATATATACATCATATGAGAACTTTTCTTACACATCTGACATTTTCATGTTGACATTTTCAATTTTGATGTGGAATTTATTCTCCAAGTATCTATGGCCATAGTTTTGACAAGTATTTGGGGATTTTGGATGCAATTTGAAGATTCTTGCTCCGAGACATCTGCAAGGCACTAACTTTTCTGACAGCGGCTGCTCAGCACTTTCTGAGCATTTCTAAAAAGTTATAATCATTCCAATCTATATTTGCTGTGCCCCTGACAGCTGTCTTCCTGGTGAGCAGAGCTGTCACTGAGAAATCTTGCTTGAGAAGAGACTGGGGATAAAAAAAAAAAGATATCTACTAGGAAGATGCTGGATGGTTGGGGGGGTGGAATTGGCATGAACTCTCTGCTCTGCTTTCAGGGCTGGTTCATATCGGCAGTTTGCAACCACTGTGCTCCTGCCAAAATGAACAATGTAAATGTCTTAACACAGGCCCTGAGGATCTGATCGCTGCAGTCTAACTATTCTTGGTAGAAACATCTTCTATCATCAACTTATAAAATACTGTAATTGCCACCCATTTATAGAATCAAGCATAAAAAATATGTGATTGGAAAAGTACATCACCAAATAAGTATTAATAAAATTATTTAATTGGCAACTGATTATATAGATTAAATATATTTCAGTGAAATGCCTGTGAATGTTTTTCTCTTCTGGTAGCTGAGCAAACCATAGAGCTATTGCTATGAAAACTACTGCTTTCTCACTGCAAAAGCCCAGATTAATTGCTATAAAGGATTTTAAAGTGCAGTGGTGAGCAGCTGTAAGTCAATCACCAATTCACCCTTTGCTCATTTCTGTTGATGAGTACTGTACATTTACTTATCTATTTTTCTCCATCTATATAATTGTATCTTTCCTACACAGGTACAACATTAACTTTCTGCCATTCCTGCATTATACTGTTGTTGGGGTACATTAATTCCTTTAGGATTTTTTACTTTCCTTTTTTTCTTTAAAACTCCTTGAAAAGAGCTCATACTTTTAGAACATCCAAGGGTAACTAATCATTCCTGTTACCCTTTTGAACCTTTACTAGCTTTTCAAACTGAAGTTCTTCTTCCTGCTTGCTGCAGACATTGAACATTTGATTGTACTTTCATGCTTTAGTTATCCAATTAGAGATCATAGAACTGCTACTGCAAAATTACTAATGCAATTCACATTTTAGTCCTGGCCACAGAACACGATGCTTCTGTCTCACCCTTTAGATACTTCTAGAGTGAAAGCTCTAAAAGTTATGCCTATAGGATTATTATCACTTTTACAAACAATTCAAAAGCAGGCCACACGGGACACAGAGTTGTGTGCATGTGTGGAAAAACACATGTATGAACTTTTGGTCCTCAAGATTTAGGAGACATTCAGTCAAAACTGGCTAGTTCACTTAGATGGGCTTGGGATGAGGGGAAGCAAAACCGGACAGTTTGGCTGCAAATTAGGCATGCAGAAATTTCCTAGATATGTAATGGAACTTTTTGTTAATCTTACTTGGTAGTTTGACTGTCACCCTAGATGTGGTCAAAGGATCAGGTCCATCTTACATAGATGGTTAATGACAAATTGGTGTGGGACAGAAAGGTGGCTGGATGCTCTTCTGTTGTCCTCACTAAAATGAAAAACTCTTGTATTCCACAAGTAAATCTGCTACCCATTACATAGCACATAAAGAAGCTCAGAGAAATCAACACAAGTATTCATGAGATACAGCTTTTTGCTCTGAACTGAAATTGAATTAGGAAAACATTTGTTTGAAACAACAGAACTACAATTAAGCTAAGGACTTTAATGAATTTTATTGAATATTAGATACCACATGGTTTATATAAAAAAGGCCTGCTTCCAAGCATAGCAGATCTCCTCAAACAAAGCTTAATTCCAACACAATATTTACTGTATGATTTGAGCTTTGCAAGTCTCCTCCATATTCACAGATGTTTATAACATAATAAAACAGGAGGAAAACATTTCAAACCCCCTCAGATAATAAAAGGTACTCATCAGAGACATAGAAGCTGTAATGTTACACGCTGAAACTTTGGCTTTAAACCATTTTAGTGTTTCTTAAACCAAAAGAAAAATTAGAGAAATCAGGACGGTACTCACAGTGCTACATTTAAACCTGTGAGTAGTGGCTGAATGAACACCAACCTGGGTTGCTGCTTGTCTCATTCAAACAGCTAGTAAGAAACTAGTATCTGCACTATTTGCCAGCATTTTCCTCAAACCATGTGGCATGACAGGTATGTTGGAGCCTGCATGCCCTTATGCACAACTAATAGACATTTGCCTGTTAGAGAAATACAGCTTGAATGAAACACTTCCATACAGAGCATAGGCTGCCTATAGCTGGTGGTTAGAAGAAAGATCTTCAGACTAAAGCTGCATCTGACACGAGCTGGGTGGTGCTGAGGCGCTGGCACAGGGTGCCCGGAGAAGCTGTGGTTACCCCATTCCTGGCAGTGTTCAAGACCAGGTTGGACAGGGCTCGGAGCAATCTGCTCTAGTGGAAGGTGTCCCTGTCCATAGCACAGGGCTGGAACTGGATGAGCTTTCAGGTCCCTTCCAACCCAAACCAGTCCGTGACTCTGTGATTCAAATGTGGAGAATACCTTTGACTCATCCATCTAACCTGACAGTTGGACTGGGCTGTCTCCTTTCAGAAGGAGCTATCTAAAACGAGGTATATCTTTTCAGATTTCCCCTTGGCTGTCTAGAAAATCAGGCAACAAAGGCAACAGGTTTTGTACCTGGTAGCATTACTTCAAGGAGAACAGATTCAGAGATTACTGCCTCATACCAGTAGCTGTTTTGTGTGGTCTCCATTGGGGTTGTCCATCACGAACTTCATGCTGGACCCTTCCTTCAGCAGTGGTAATCGGAGCTGAGCACAGCTCCTGTCCAATTCGCACTAATAATTGCAGAAACACGCCGGTTTACGGTCCGACTTTGACTTTGCTTTATCTGAAGAAATGAGCGCCTTTCCCCTCCCGGGCACCCCACTGCCCTTCACAGAAGTGACTCCATTTCCTCACACACATCACCACCAGGGCAGCTACCACAGGCACAGGGGCAAAGACCCTCCACCAGCGCTTCAGCCCGCCCAGACAACCGAACCGGTACCGGACCCCGGTGAAACCAGCGCCCCCCTCATGGCCGCCCCGATCCGGGGCCAGCCCCTGTACCCCACCGCAAAGCATGCTGGGAGTTGTGTCCGCCAGCGGCTCCCTTTGCCCTCCTCGGCCACCCTTCACGGTGCCCGGGCACGGAGCACCCCTTGCCCTGGGGCCGCTGCGCCCTGTCGGGGTGCTCCTTCTTCCGCCGTGACGCCTGGTCGTTGCTTGTGTGTGTGGAGCGACAGACGGAGACAGGACGCGGCACGGCTCCCCACACGACTACAACTCCCGGCGTGCTTTGCGCGCGGGTGACTTACGGGGGGTGGGGGGAAGATGGCGCCTGGTAAAGCGAGTCGGAGAGGTCCCTGAGGTGAGTCTGGGGCCGCCAGGAAGCGGTGCTTTCTTGTCTTCACCTTCACAGTCGTCTCCTTTACCCGTTTTTATGATCGTTTCCCTGCTCTCGGCGTTTGGGAGCGAGGAGGACGCGCTAGATAGGCGGGCGCTGAGCGGGGCAGCGGGACCCCTCAGGGCAGCGGGAGGGAGGCGGGAGAAGCAGCCTTAGGACGTCGCCTCTCGGCGCACCGCACGCTGTGGGCAGCGCGGCCGGCTCGGGGTGCCACGGTGGGTGCTGCCCGCCACAAACCCTGCCCCGGGGGCCTGTGGTAGCGAGCAGGACCCCCCAGTTCCTTTCCCAGGAGAGGACTTCTGGAGCTGCCACTACTGAGTGGTCCATGCGTGACGCTCCTGCAAGACGTAGAGGCCTTCCATGAGGCGGTCATAAGTCAAAACCTTGTTATCAGTCACCAGTCGTGACTGATGTAGTGGGATATCCCAGTAACATCAGTCTGAAAGTAGCGAAGCAGTAGAGAGCTGTGGCTTTGGGATTTCCCGGAGCTGTTTTCCGTCAAATTGGCTATAACACAGCGAGGTACTGCTAAGCATTAACCGAACACAATGCAAGTGTACAATAGGGCTGCTCTGTGAGCTTTCTTAAACAGCTTCATCTTCTGCTTTAATTGTGCAGCGTGGAGCCATGCCTGTAGATAATTGAGGTGTAAGTCCACAAATCCTATTACTGAGAACTAATTATAGTACAACTTCGCTTTTGTTGTGCTGAATACACCTTGGAAGGTATCCCATAGCTGATATGCTAGGAAGAAAAGATCCTGGTGTGGACTGAGACCTCTGTGCTCTGTTGGAGAACTTGTGGAAAATCCTGTTACTTAGAAATAGCACTTTAATTCCTACTTCAAAATGAAGTTTGCAAGCCTAGATGTTTTACTTTATAAAGCTAAATCAAATGTTTGCTGTGCAAATTGAGTAGGTGAGCTAAAACCTGAATAACACAGGCGGCTTTGGGAAGATACAGGTCCTCTAATTCCTGAAGCCTTTGATAATGCATTTAAAATAATTTGAACTGTTTTCTGAAGTAACTTTAGTGTTCAGGGCATCCTGCTGGAAGCTTCAGTGTATGGATGCTCCGAAACTTGTGAACTATCCCTGAGAAACCAGTCGTTTGGGGTTGAAATCTGGATTGTAGTGTTCTGATATGCATAAAGGCTTATGCATAAGTTTTATTTACGCTTTTCAATAACACTTAATATTTGTCCAGAAAAAGGCTTCTAGAATGGGATTAATTTCTGATTCATGAAAAAAAAAAAACAAAAAACAGAACCACAAAAATGGGAATTAGAATACAGTTTATAATTGAATAGCTGCTTTAAAATTAAATAGTTAAGTTTGGCATCCTTGTTATGTCCTTGTTATGAAAAAGTTTGCAGTTGTTGAGCAGTAACTTCTCTCTATTTCTGATCCAAACTTGTACAGGAGAAAAGAATCAACAGATTTTATATTACATGGAAGTGGAAGGAGGCATTAGAATGCTAATCAGACTTGGCAGTTGAACTTCAAGTATAATGAAAGGGGTTAGTACTTCTAATTATGAAATCTAAATTGTAAAATTCACAGGTTAGAAACAGCTTTGGTCAGTATCAGGCACGTTTAACTGCCCAGTCTAACTGTAATGAAGTAATTATTGCAAAATTGCTGTGTTATTTTCAAACAGCTTTTGAAGACTTTTCAAATATAAGCAAATCATGTTTTCTGTAGTTAGATCAGCACAAAACCTATTTATCTGATGGATTTTTAACCCTCCACTGGCAACATGTGTACCTGGGCAGAGGAACATTGCTTTTAATTTTGTTAATGAAATGGGTATTGGATTAAACTAGCCTTTGAGAAGGGGGGAAAGGTTGCTAAAGGAACACTTATTTAATGTGCAAGGTTTTTCTTGTCCTAAAGCTGTCTAATCAAGGCTGAATTCTCTAAGGTGAAGCAGGACAAATGTCCTTTTACATGTGCCTGTTTAGCTGAACTCTCCTGGGTGGGCAGCCTCATTAATGCAGCCAGCCTCATGCCAGGGTTTGCTTCTCTACCTGAGAAAGCTAATTTGAAATAAAGTCAGGTACTTCCACAGAACTGCACTGTGGTGTGTGAATCCATCTTATATTGAATTTTTTGGATTCTGGGAATTACCGTTGGAGCCTGTCGGTCTATATTTAGGAATGAGCATGTGACATGAATCTTTCATTGCACTGGCCACTTGCCTGCCTTCAAAACTAAAGGCCTTGATTGATTTTTCAAGTAGGAAATATGGGTGGGGAACCAAATGATGTAAAAACTCAATGTGTAGTGTATTTTTATGTTTTTCAGTTCATGCCTGCCCAGCTTATGTTGCCTTTCTGACAGGTGCTTAAACCTCTCTTCTTCTTTGGCATAATTTGGAGGAGTGGATAGGTGCCCAGCTGGCAATTTTGTTTTGAATACTCAAAATCAAGTTAATAATTTATAGCATTACATAATACACTATCATAATCGTGGACTTACTGATAGAAAATACAAAGCCTCAGGTGTGCTGACTTCTGTTTCTTTGCCTGGAGTACAAGGGTATTATATACAGTTTTCAATTCTAGACCTTTTACAGAGATCTGTTTTAGAGCAGACAAGATAAAGATATCTGCTTTTCTGTTTGCCTTTCACTGACATTTATGGAATCTTGTGATAATAAGAAATAGTTTCTGTTTATAAACTATCTTTTAATTTCAGATCCCAGTTTAGTTAAAGTAATGAAGAAAAAAAAATCACATGCAAGCATGTAATGGAGGAAGATGATTATTGGAACCAATAAGTCAAACCAAGAATAGTTTTATTCCTGTTGGTGCAGCTTGAACCTGGCAGTGCAATGAATTGGCTTTGGATTTCCTTATCTTAGGCAAATCATTTAAAATCTCCTTTAAACTGATTTTTTTTTTTTGTTAAGAAGAATGACTTATGTATCATACAAGTGTTGATCTGCCTTTTAAGGTACATTCAGTAGCATTACACTTTGATTACAATTGTGTTTAGAATTATTATTGCATCTTTAGGAAAACAGAATAACTTTAATCCTCCACGGAAATTAGGCATGGCTCTTATTTACTTTTTTAGTATCCAGGGTCTGCTGCTTTGCTGGAGAAGACATTGTATAGGCACATAGCATCCTTAAGTTGCTTCTGGTCATCTGTCAAATACAGCAAAATTACATGGAACATGTTAGTATGTGTTAAACTATTTAGGAAACTAAATTATATCTCATGATTTACCATCTCTGTTTTTTAATTGTAGCCAAGTTCTACTTCATAAAATTCTGTGTTTTGTTTTGTTCGTTGTTTGTTCTTTTCCCTCTCTTGATATGTCAAATCTAATTCAGTGACAAACAGCAGAACAGGCTCATGATAGGAAGCTTCTTATTTTTAGTTCTGTTCTAGTGTAGCAGCTATCAGTATCTGGACTGAGCTTTGCCCTAGGCCTGATGAGCCAGTGATTGAGCACTTTATGGAGAGGAAATTGTGTAGTCTGTTCTGCATGTAGAAGCCAGGCCACCTCCATATTGAATTTTTGATCCTGTTACAGATCATAAATGATTAAAAATCCAGTGAATTATTTAAAAACAGAACCAAAAGTCTTCTAGTTGGACACTTACCTTAGTTGCTTATGCAGCTTTTCTAGTAATGAATATCTTCTAAAGGTTGTTGATTTTGCCTGCAACAGCAGTGCTAAAGTAGCAAAATGTATTGAAGTCCTGATTGCTTGTGATGGTCAGTAAAACAGAGTCTGGCACTTGACTCCCTTGAACCTCTCATCAGGTTCTTTTCATTTTTATGTTCTTATATGTCAGTAAATGTCTTCTGTAATCTCTCAGCCGAGTTCTTCACTCTGTATTAGAGGTTTTACTTTTCCATGTGTCTGTTGAACATCACAATCCACAGCACATTTTGTTGTAGAAAATTATGCTGCTACTAACTGTCCTTGGAGAGGGACATGCAGCCTTCTAATAGGGTAGCACATGTTAAATAAATTGCTTTGAAGCACTATTTTTAATCACAGTTGCTATCAGCAAATTAGAACCCCTGATTGAAATAAATGTACAATAAGGTTTATTTTTAACACCTATGAACACTGCTTGTGTCTTGTGATCAAATAAATGTTTATTCACACATTATCATTGCCTGGAATTGTAGGTATTTTGGTGTGCATATATAAACAACTATTAGCTGAATATCTTCAATTTATTATTTCTTTTTTTTTTTTTAGCTTTGGGAACAGTAACTCATTCTCTTTAACTGAGATTTTTTTTTTATTGTATATCGAAAGGTACATTTGCAGAGAGGTTGCATTTGGCAGTTAATGAAACTCAGATGCGCTGCTTTATTATAGAAAAATCTTCACGAGTAGCATTTTAATCCTCAAGAATTAAATGGTAGATTAGGCTATTTTTATCCCCAAAATAGGTTGTCCTAACTTCAATTGAGTTCATTTTATGAAGATACCCAATTGCATCAAAAATGCTTTGAGCAACTGCTGTTTATAGTAATTTGGTCTTTGATTTAAAATCTGCCTTTTTTTTCAAG